TCTTTCCCTGTCCTGCCATCCGATCCATCCTTCTGATTAGCAAGGAAGAGTGAACGGCAGAAAGGTAATTAAAAATATGCATGTTTTTCCATGAGGAAACAGTAAGGAAGGATCAGAATCTACGTGCAGTTATGGGGAAGTCTCCACCATATGGGAACTGTATTACTGCACAAAGGACATGTATCTCATCTAGCTCAACTTCTCTTCCTGTAGCTGTATTAACCATTTCACACAGATGAGCAGCAGGGTAATTTGCAATCCACCTGACAACAACCACAGGGATGAAGCCCTTACCAGGTCAGCGAGGTTTGGCTGTTTCCCACCCATGAACAGTCGATTTTTGCCAACAGCTTTTACCCACTCATTAACTGCTTCATACAGATCTTCTCGGACATCATCTCGAAGCTGATGTCTGGATAAAGAAAATAATCAGTTTGAAGACACAAGCTTGTTTCTTCCTTTAACCTTCTATCACCTCTCACCTTATGGGCTGGTTTTGGTTTGCAAGGAATGGCAGTATTTCAGAGGGAAGGGGCAGTCAGTAATTAAATAGTGGATGAGTAGAGGGGTTCAGTACCTCCAGTAAAGATGTACAGTTGTTACTCATACAGGATTAAATGGTTCAGTTTAAAACTCTGAGGTTCTGCCCTTTGACAGCTGGGGTTCACAGCTAAGGAGGAACTATTTCTCCTCTTGTGTACTTAGTGCTTTTCTCCTCTTGTGTACTTAGTGCTTAGTGATACCAACCTTTTCTTCAGCCTCTTGCTAACGAAGAACATGGCAACAGCCCCCACGTATTTGGCAAAGAGACCTTCCAAGGTGCCAAACTTCCCCTCACGGACAATGTAATCAAAAGATGCCAAGGCTTCTTTGGGGGTGCGGTAAACATTGGGGGAGATGAGGTGAACAAGCCAATCATCTGCCCATTTTCTCCACTTCATTTCTTCCCTGCGAGCAGTCAAAAGAAAGTTTTCAGTGAACGAGGTACAGATAGAAGGGCTACAGGAGGCAGGATCACAGTTGCCTTAGCCAGAGATCCTTCCAAGGTCAAACACTCCTACCCAGGTACTCTGGTGACATCCCTAAAATGCACTGAACATCATTATCTTTAGTCTCAAACTGAATTTAAGACTAAGATAGAGCATTAGGTTCTCCACCCAACAGAAGAAATAAAGCAGGAAGGGAAACTCTCCCTCAATAGATTCCTCTGTGGCACAAAGGAAAGGCCAAGAAGGAAACTGTAGGCAGCTGAAGGCCTGTGTGACCATGGTGGTGGTAACTAGGCTGGTAAACAGCTTTGTTTTGAATTATCCAACAAACACAGCAAACCAACTAATGAGGCTTGAAACACTAACAGGGGTGTGACAAGACTTGTCAGCCTCAGTGGGATTTTACATCAGCCCTGAGTACACATAAAGGGGGCTGTGACCCTACTTGGAGAGCCCTTAAACTTAAGAGCACTTACACTCTCACTTCTTTGACAGGATAGACTCTCTTTGTCTCCTTCTCATCCAGCATGAGCCAGTATTTATTCTCATACTCAAGCACCTCCTTGCCTTGCTCAGTCACTGTTTTAATAGGTGGATAAAAGGACACAATTTCTTCTAAGCTATTCCTCCTGTGAAAAGAAATACAGTTAGCACTGATCTGACTGCTATAAAGGAGCAAGAGCAAAGGACAGATTGAAAGATTCACACTATAAAATGTATTATTCTAAAAGTAAGTGCGCAATGTTCCAGATTCTATTTGGAAAAAAAAGAGACTGGAACAGCTACTTGCAAATAACTATTATTAGTGCACATACCTTTGTATGTGACAGAAATTTCTGCAAGCATAAAACTTCCTACCATTCTCAAGTAGACCTAAAGAACAGGCCATAGGCACAACAATGCCATTTCATTCTACATGTTATAACTGGCTAATTGTAAGCTCAGTTCCAAGACTAACACTAGTTCATGTTTAAGTAGGTTTTGTGCAAATAGAATCTCACAGATGAGAAAGTACTTCTGAAAGGTACAAGCTTTGCTTTACATCACAGACATCACAACATATATAAGCACCACCCATATTATCACAGCCAGGCTCAGGTCACCCAGAGCTTCAGAGCCTGAGGTCAGCAAGAGACTTACTGGCACATTCAGAGTCTTCTAAATCTCTACTTAACCTGGGCCCTCCAAATTCAACTCTTCTCTCATCACCCTGTTTTCTTACCTGGAAATAAGATAGGTCTTTATTGCACTGATTATCACTGAGGAGTCGTTCAATTGCTGAAAAACAGGATTAAAATAACCTTTTAAAAGAAGCTGGTTAAATTGAAAAGGAAATTCTTCAAAGCCTTTTTCCCTGCGTGCTGAGACTTCAGGTCATGAAGACTTACCAGCGGGCTCCCAGCGTTGGCTAGCAGGATGGGCACCTTTCTGTAGGAAGAGAATTTGATCTCTTTCCTCATGATTGGGTTCACTTCCACAATTTCATAGGGCAGTCCATGATAATCAAGAAAAGCTCGGACTTTGCTGCAGAAAGGACATGTTTTATACTGGTAGAGAGTGAGCTGCAGGCTCCCTGCAGGCAGCTGGAAAGAAAGAGAAGATTTGTGTTCTGCTAAATACATAAACACTACCTTCCTTCCATCCTTATTTCTGTCATGAAGTCACAGTCACTGACAATCAGTGTCAACATCTGATCATGAGCGTATCTTGGCTATCAGATGCTTTCTTTAAATGGCATCAATTATTTAAATATTCATCATTCATTGGGACCAATAACCTGCTTCTCTAAACATCCATTTAATGTGCTGAAAACTCCTACTCACAGCTAGGAAAAAAAAAATAGGTTAAATCCAGACATTTTACCCCTTTATAGTTCCTATTCTGCAAAACTGAATTCCATAGAAAAATACCACCATTTGCAGGAGTATTCAAACACAAAGCCTTTACAGGCCAATCCTTCCTCCACAACAGCCTCTGTTGAGGCCACAAGGTGGGGAGAGCAGAGTTTGCATTTGTGTCTGTCCAAGTTCACATTCCTGGGATTAACCAACGTGGGTACAACTGGGACAATGCAGGGAGAGCCCAGGGCCACCGGGACATCAATTACGGAATGTTTCGCAAAGCTGCTACACCTCAAGCAGCCTGACAGGCCGTGCTAATCATTCCTCACACATAAAAGAAAAAACGCAGCCACCCCGCTTTGTTTCTTATTTACAATCTACTGGGTTACACAACCCTGCGCGGGTACTGCGAAAAAGTAACAACAGAAAAGGCTCCAAACCCCCAGGAAGCCCTCACTGACAGCCTTTCCTTACAGCTCCTCAAGGAATGCTCTGCCAGGGGCCTCCCAGACCGTTTTAAGCTCTTCCCTCGCTCAAACCGGGGCAGAAGGAGCCTCTCGGTCCGCGGGGAACCGCTGTCCCGGGGGCTCGCTGCCGCCGCAGCGGGGTCCCCGCAGGCCTCGGGGAGGGCACGGCGGGGATGAGGGGGAGCCGCCCCCGGCGTTACCTCAGCGGCAGAGTGCTCCCGCAGGCGCTGCCGCGCCGCCAGGCACAGCCCGGCGCTGCCGCCCAGCGCGAATGCAGCGCCCAGCACCAGCCGGCCGCCGCCGCTGCTGCCTCCCCGTCCCGCCGCAGCGCCGAAGGCTCGTCCCGGGGCCCGCAGCCGCCAGGCCGGCGGCAAGAGCAGCGATCCTACCCGCCAGGCTCGGCCGGCACCCGCCATCTTCGGCTGAGGGCGGGCGGAGAGCGGCTGCTCCGCCCCGGGCACGGCGGCACGCCCCGGCACGGCCCCGGCTCGGCGTTCGGGCATGGCAGCACCGCTTCCCGCTGAGGGCAGGCCCCAGCACGGGACACACAACAAGGGGCGGACCCGCTGACCTGTAATTATCAAATCTGAGAACACACCAGAGTCTAAAGTGGGAATAAAATAATCAGTTGAAAGGGTGAGGGAGCTGAGCCCGTTCAGTCTCGAGAAAAGGCAGCTCTGGGGGGACTTCATCGATGCCTGTCAGTGCCTGCAGAGAGGGGGCGGAGAATGCACCAGGCCGTGGTGCCGAGCCGTAGAACAAGGGGAGCGGGCAGGAACTGACGCACAGAAAGTTTCACCTGAACATGAGGAAAAGCTTCTTCCCTGTGCAGTGACCGAGCCCTGAACAGGTTCCTCAGAGAAGGTGTGGAGTCTTCCTCACCTGGGGATATTCCAGAACTGTCTGGACTCAATCCTGTGCTGTGTGCACTGGGGTGACCCTGCAGTGCAGTTATTACCCACAGAAGGGAGAGGTGGCTGCAATGTTAAAAGAAGACGTGATCTTTTCTTTAGTCTTTGTCCCAAATACCCACTTAATAATGGAGTCCTTGATCTCAGGAGCACTGCTTGAATCAATGCTCTAATTGTGGGTTATTTTCATCGCAGTGACTTCTCTCCCGGGGATGAAAACACCACACAGCGATGAGATCTCCTCAAGGTGACTGAGGTGCGGCTGATACTAGGCCAAAGACAGGGAAGGGCGAAGTGAATCGTGCTTGTTGCTTTAGGGAAGAGGAATATGAAGGTGACGTGGGGCTGGTTCAAGCCACTTAGTGGACGAAGCAGAGCTGGTGACAAGGCTGGAGCTGGGGAGTTCAGCAGCAAAGCTCCCGCTGAGACGGAACGGCCCGCACGGACAGGATGCAGATTTATCCATACGGAGCATCACTTATGTTGGGAAAGAAGCGCTCAGTGCTGATGGCGGCCCCTAACCGGGGAGTCTGGGAGGACCTGAGGACACTTGGGGAGGACAAGGACACAGCCTAGCGCTGGGCACGCGTTTGGGAAAAATCCCTGAGAAACGGGGAAAGTGGCGCTGACCCCAGGGGCCGCCCCTGCTTACTGCTGCTCGTCGCGCCCGCCCGCGCGCCTGCGCTCCGCGGCCTCCGCGCTAACCACAGAGTTCACCGCAGCGCCGGCCTGCGTGACGCGCAAGGCACTCTGCTCTCCCATTGGCTGGAGGCCCCGCGCCCACACGGGCGCGCAGTGCGGGCGGCGCCGAGGCGCGGGCGGGAGCGGCGGGATGTCGGGGCCCAACGGAGACCCGCACGTGCTGGGCGGCGGCACCGGCCACGACGGCGACGACGACGGCGACGACGGCGACGACACCTTCGAGGAGGAAGGTGCGTGGGGGTAAAACGGGGCTGCCATCTTGGAGGGGATCCCGTGGCGCAGGATGGCCTGCCCTGGTCCCCTGCTCTGCGGGTGGCAGAGCGCAGGTGTGCCCAGATGTGCCCAGATGTTCTGCCGGGAGCGGTGCCCAACGCCAGCGATGCACCCGCTATACGGCAGCGGGGCCGAGGGGCTGCAGGGTTTGATTCCCACCCAGCCATGAGGCACCGACGTGTTGCCCTCGGGTGGATTTTTTTCTTGTGAAAAAATTATTTTGTGCCTTTGCTGGTGTATGGGCTGCGGATGTCAGGAAAGAGGATGTTCAGGTTTCGAAATCACAGGGCAGATCACATGGGCGGATCTGGGAGAAGCAGTCATGCATGGAAAAAGGGAATTTAATGCAGGTAGCTTGGCAAATTCCACTTTGGGGCATTTCTGCAGTGCCTGGGTGTGAAGTTTCTGATACTGCCCTGCCTGGTTAGAACCAGCCCATGGAAAAAATGAGATGACAGGAGAGCAGTTACGTGGACGTAGAGGTCACTCTTAAAACTAGAATTCTTTCAGCATAAGCACTTTGCTACCCTTCTGTTGAAAATGGTGGAGTTGGGTTCTACTGTTTCCCAAAACATTCTGTTTCCTAGATGTGACCCACACAGGTGATTTTAGGAGTTGTGTCTGGGATCTAGCTGCAGTGACAGGACAATCATTTCTGCCCTGAAACACCCCAAGTGCATTCACTGCTTTGCATCAGCACAGTGATTTGCATTTCCTATTTTTTTAAGAGCTTAAAGACATGTTGGATGTGATGGAGAAAGTCACTAAATTGGATTTACAACCTAATTGGGTAGTTCAGCTTGTAAGTAATTTGCTTTGTGTGCAGTAGCTGGTCATAAAGGGCTGCAGCTATTTCCTGGTTTAGTGAAGCTGTGGATCTCTTCCTTCATCTCAAGTAGGAAACTTGATTTTTGTCAACTACTCTTGTAAGAATATAGAGGAGTTAATGCAATTGCCATACTCCTTTTCAGTGTTTCCAATAGAGATGTAGTTATTTCCACAGAAATCCACCATGCAACTAACAGAAAACAATAAAAGGTTTTTACAGCTTATTTTTAAATGGTTAATTTAATTTTAAATGGTTAATTTTCTTTTCACTTCCCAGAGCCACACAAATTATATAACCTTCACTTGAGTTTTAGGCACTGAGAATAAGCTTCTGCTGTAATTGCAGACTTCTTGCCAAGATGATGAATGGTCCTTGCCAGAAGTAGTTACCATGTCTGCTTGAGATCTGCTCACCATTTCATTGGAATATGGTGCATCAAATTGAAAAGCTGTAACTCACAGATCTTGAAAAATGCTGATAGTTTTAAAAATGCTGGTAACTGCCACCTTTTTGGAAAGCATGTGTTTGTGGGCTTGATTTTTAAATGTAAGAACATCATCAGTGCTCTTGATCATAATGCCACCTCTGTGTATACCTGCAAGGCCAAACTTTTATTAATGAGCTCAAATGCAGCATTACACAATTCTCCAAAGAATTAAAGGCTGCAGCACCCTGAACGGCTCCAAAGTGGTTATAAGAAAAGGAGGATAATTATTTTTTTATAATGAAACTTCTTAGCTATTAATAATGCAGATGACGTCAATGTTTAAATATTCACAGCTCTTTTAAAGCTGCCTGGACCTTGTGTGCTGGGGCACCAGGACACCCTGGCAAAGAGGCAGAGCTGGTCTGGGGGATTTAAGCACAGCCTGACCCTCCTAGGTTGCCCAGAACACATCCTCATCCTCCTTCCTCTCTCCACGTCCTTCAGCACAGCCCAGCATTCCAGGCACTGAGTATCACCCTGGGCTCAGAGGAGCTGGGTGGAGAAAAGCCAGCCCCTGCCTATGAGGTGTGAGCTTGTCCCACCCACACAGGCATCCTTCCCTGTCCTGCACCCCATGATCCTCACAAACATCAGCCCACAGGTCACACACAGCTCCACCTCTGCCTCCCTGCACTCACTCAGCTGTGCAGTTTCAGAAAGGAACATGGGACTGGCTCCATCTGGGATCCCCTGCAGCCTTCCAGGTGTCCTGAGTAAACTCAGCAGTTTATCTTGTCTGTTTTTTAAGTTTGGGTTTTTGTTATTCTTCAGGATTGTGTGGGTGTTGCTTGGAGGAATCCAAAAACAAGTGTTGCAGGAGCACAGCACTCTTCAGCTGAGTAGCAGTGCTAACACGCACCACTGTGAAATGCTGTTGTGCTGGAACAAGCCGCTGCACTTGAAACAATGCTGTGGGTAAGAAACTGTACCTAGAGAACCAGCTGCCAGGATCATCTGGAGTGAATCTAGCTTTAATCTGAAGTACCCAAAGCCTTAATAGAGCATGAAAATCCTGTGTCTGAACTAGGTGCAACACTTACCTTCCTGTGGAAATAGTGGTGCCACTACCAGCACCTTCGGGTTCATCCCCTCCTCCTGCCACAGCCATGACAGCTGCACTGTTACAGCAGCCTGACTCCAACCAGGCCTGAGTGAAGCACATCCCAGCTTGGAAGCCTTATCCAAATAATTCACAGAAAATAAACACTGCAACATGCTGACAAAATGCCTGTACTATCAGGAAAGATGATTCCAAAGGAAGCTAAAAAGGCTGCCTTGTCTTTGGGATTTATCTGGTAATGTTGCAGTCAGCACTCAGTCTGTGGTTGGCTGTTTGTGTGTGAGATCTGAGGCTCTCAGATGTGTTCACAAAGGGTTTGGACTGCCCAGGTACCTTGCCTTAGATCTTGTTACCAGTGTTACAGCTTCCCATTGGCCTAATTTGATCAGGGAACAGAGCACATACTGGATTCAGTTGCACTTCACCCACCCAGGGGTAAATAAGGCACAGACAAAATGCTGTGGGCATGTTTTGCCAGAGTTCTCATGGCCTCCTTTGACTGCAGTGACAATTTATTTACATTGTTCAGTCTCTCATTCCCCTTGCTTTTAGAATATGCAGCAATAAACTATATGCTGGACCAGATCAACTCCTGCTTGGATCACCTGGAGGAGAAGAATGATCACCTACACGGCTGCTTGAAGGAACTGCTGGAGTGCAGCCGCCAGACCCGTCTGGAGTTCCAGCAGCAGAGCAAGCAGCTGAACAGTGGAGCTGATGTGCAGGGATCCCAGCCTCCTGCCTAGAGTCTGACCACACACCCTCAGCTGCTGTTGCTAAGGGGACAGTTACTGGTCACCAATTTAATGTAAAACTTGGAATAGCAGAGGTGCCTCGTGTCTGTTACTTGTTCCTGTGTTTGTATCCTGCCATTCATGTTCTGTTTTCATTTAGCTGTGATTCGGGTGCAGAAGCACAAGGGTGGGTATAGGAGAGCTGGTTCTTTCTGCTCCCCAACATAAGCCTGGCACTCACACTTGGTTAAAGCTGGTTGTAGGAAACCTGAGGCCATGCAGGTAGTTTGCAGGCAGGCCCTCTTGACAAAGTGGAAAAATTATTTCTGCTCTCTTTTCCTTAAATCCAAGCAAGGAGTATTATGGCTCAACCCCCTTTCCCTCAGAAAGCACAGTTGGCAGGGGCTGTCCTGACTTCAGGCTTGTCCATAAGTCTAACTGATGACAGCCCTGGAGAGGGAGGGCCTAGGCCAGCTGCTGCCTTGAAGCCACAGCTTCTCCCTTAGTCACATTAACTGTGATGTACAAATATTGGCACATGGTTCCAGATCACTGGACACTTCCACTCCATTCCAAGCAGATAAGACAAGCTACTGATGTGATCTTTCTGACCACTGTAACTGGGAGCTGCACCACTCCTTCAGCTGCCATTAAGGACAGAGGTGTAGAAAGGGGCAGAGCAGCCTGGTTAGCCCCCATCACAGCATTAGCAATAGAGAGCAGAGCCCTCCCTGTACATTCTGACAAGGCACGAGAGGTCTGGTCTGTACCTTGTGGTCTTGTCAATATGTCCTACAGCCAGCACTTTTGAAGCAAGAATTACTGTTCTGTTTATGTAGAGTTAAAGGAGTTTTTTTGAAAGTTAAAGAGGTTATTTAAAAGAAATCTGTTTTATTAAAATCAATTTGAAACAAAATTTGTTCCTGAGAGTCTCCACTATGAGAACAGATTGGATTAAGCCTTGTAGTATTAACAAAGGACCAAGGTGCATGTTCTTGCCTAGCTTAGGACTTGTCCAACAGTGTGTGTCTTAGAAAGGAAAGTGTTCTGAGAAGCAGAATTCAGCAGAGTCTCCCAAGAGATAAACATTGTCTCTGGAAAGGAAATGAGAGGAACTACAAAGAATTCTTATGTCTGCATCCATCACTCCGTGAAGTTTGTCCCCTGTGGAAATCCCATTACCATCTTCTTTCAGGTTCAAGCCTTAGTCTTTCCACATAACTGCTGTATCCCAACTGTACAAGTAATAAGCAACACTATCCTGTATTAGACACGCTAAAGCCAGGCTTATTTATTCTTAAAATAAAAACAGCAGTAAAGTTGAAGGTTTTGCTCTATTAAAAGACTCAGAAAATAAAACATTTCCAGCAAATATCATATGTAAAGGGCTCTCCTTTAAGGCCACTCTATCTGGGTTTGCGCCTGGAAGAGCGTCTGCACCCAGCAGAGGTGAGACCAGCTGTCTCACCTTTGGCGAGGGAGGAAGGCTCTGCTGCTGCCTCCTGGCCTGCATCTGCTGCCTCCTGTCCTAAGCCTCCTCCACTCCCTGGATCCTGGTGGTCGTCTGTGTCTGCCCTCTGCCTGGCTGTGTTGGCCTCTTCCTCATGTCCCAGTGACTCCCCTACGGTGTGGCTCTCCTCAGAGAACAGGCAGTCGGCACTACTGGCAGTGGACTTGTTCTCTTCCTGTAGACTTTCTTCTTCTACAACCATGACACCACACACATCATCAGTCACACTGGCCAGGCTCTTGCCCTCTGGCCTAGAGGTGGCCAGCTCACCCTTACCCTCCAGAGACCTTGAAGTTTGTTCTTGCAGGGCTGACAGCTCCGTGCCCTCCTTATCTATCCCACCATCATCATTCATCTTCTTGCTGGTATGTGCTGTTGTAGCAAGAGGCTGTTTTGGATCATCCAGCAATTGGGAGCTGGAGCCCTGGGAATGTAAAGGAGCTTCGGGATAGGCAGTTGTGGCACGGTGCCTTGCTGCCTTGTATCTCTGCAAATACAAACAAACCAATGTGAGAGAGAAGCTCAGCTCAGCTCCTGTCACTGCAGCAAAGCAGCAGCTGGTCCAGGAACACCTGTACAAAAACAGTGGTGAGTGGCAGGGGCACAAGTGATCTCAGCAGCTCCTGGCCTGGCTGCTGAGGCTCTCAACAGAGAAGGGTCAGCTCCTGTGAGGAAAAGTGATATTAAAAACTGAAGTCCCTCTCGCATTACTTAATGCTGAGCAAGTGCATGGCAGACCTCTGGCTCCTGAGACAGAAATCATGATCTGGCAACTGTTAATCTCAGTCAGACTCAGGACTTTGTAGATATAACAGTACAAGTGACAGCTCCTGCTTCAGCTACGGCCAGGACACATACCCTGGGCAGTTGAGGCTCTGCACAGCCCTCAGCTACTAGTGTGATTTAATGTTTATCAGCCAAAGCAAGGCTTAAGCTGAAAGCTTAGTATTTCTTCAGTCTGTTGATACAATCCGCACGGTCAGTGGAACTGCTGACAGGAAGGCTGTGATATCAGTTATATCTCATTACAAGTCACTGAGGTTTTCCACAGAGTAAAGGTAAGCATATCATCAATAAAATGACTCATTTGCACTCACTATCATGATGAACCAGTAGAGGTCTGTAAAGAGATTAAAACAGCTACTACACATGTTCTAGACTGGATTTCAGGAAAACAACTCACTGTAGCTAGCTAACACATAGCAGTGTTAGACATAACCCAGTCTTCAATGCCCAGACAGAGCATGACCTAAAGGAACAAGCTGAAGTTCCCTCTTTTCCCACAGCAGTTCCCTTCATAATCAACTCCCTTTCAGCTGCCTGCTGTTCCTTGACCTAGCACTAGCATTACACCTGACAATTTAAAGAAACAATTTCGAGCACAAGGGCTTTCACCAGTCTGCAATGTGGAACTGCAGCACATCTGACAGGTAGCTTTACATTGTAATTCAATTTATTGCTGCAGACTTGATCTTCTCTGTCCTCAACCTGTGGGATATGAACAATATCATCTCACGCTGGAATTGGATCAGTCAAGTAATACTGTACCCAAACCTAAGCAGGTGCAGGCATGCAAACTGGTGTCCAGAATGATGCTGTTGTCTCAACACAATTCTCTGCTTTGAAACCCTCTGCTGAGCTACTCTGCTGAGAATATCCCAGCAACTGGCAGTGATTTAACTCAGACTGCGACAACCCCAAGGCACCCAGGCAGCCAAGAATAATAGTTATCTGCCTGCAGATATGTAGGTCTGGACTCTTCTCATGAACTCCCCAGGTCACTCTGGCATGCATTTGAACAGCATCTGATTTCAGCTCTAAATGAGCCAAAAGAGTGACATAAGTGACTGCTGCTGCAGTTTCACTCTATGCTGATCTAAAACAAGTCAGGAAAACAGCAAGGCAAATTCCTTCACTCCTGAAATTACTAGCTTCAGGAGTGGGAGAGGATGAGCAACCATGAAGGAACAACTGTGGTCTCCTCCCATTCCAAATCCACTGCTCTGAGTGCTGGCAGAATTCTAAAGCACTCCACCCCTTCCTGGAGGCAGTGATGGCTGATTAGGAATAGTTTCTTCTGTCTGAAGACTAGAAAAAAAACCCCATGAAGTTTTTGGGGATTAGGGGTGTGTGTTTGTGCATGTGTGTTTGGGGTTTTTTTAAACACTAGGTGTTTAAAGGTAGTAGGGAAGCACAACAGTTTTTGGGAGTAGACTGTGGGTGCAGGCAGAGGACAAAGTCCATGTGGGAGCCTCCCTCCTTGCCAAGGACAGGGAACAGTGCTCTCCCATACAGGAGGGCCCAGGCAGTGGTCACGGGACAGGGCAGAAACAGTGCAAGCCCTTCGTACCCTCCACAAGCACTAATCCAGGCCCCTCACCCCCTGCCAAGTCAACAAGGACAGAACAATGGAGGCAGATTCCAGGCCAGCCCAGTAGGAAAAGCTTTAGATAGGAAAGCAGCAAGGGGCAATATGGCTTCTTTAGGTGGAACCAGAAAAGCAAAGGAACAGCATCAGTTTGCAGAGCTTTGTGCTAAAGAGTTTCTAGGAAAGGGTAGCAGACAGGCAGACAGACAAACTTCCTCTTGCAGGCTGACCCTGGGGACAAATGGACTCTCACCAGCTTGTAGATTCTATCACATAAAGAGTCTGTAATGTTAAATTTTCAGATTTCTAAGGTATCTGATTTTACCAGGCCTCTTCCTGGATGAATCACACCCACACTTTTGGCTAAAGGAGCTGTTCTTGAAGTATCACACCTGGAGATGCATATGCACCAGCTTTCTTTATGAGGAACAGCCTCTCTCTCCTGCTCAATCCCACCTTGACCAACCTGTAATCTAACAGAGAAGAGGCCTAGACTAAATGACAGACTCCACAGGTTCAGCAAACAGAGCGGACACTCTGAGGAAGATTCCCAGCCAGAAACAGGCAAAAAGATGATAGCAGCAGTAGCTGGGAAGCAGGACTTAACTGGTTTTAGATCTACAAGGGCCAAGGGAGACAAAGACAGAGCACACCAGGAGAAAGCTATGGCATAATGGACACCAAGGATGATGGAAATGAGCTGGAGACAAGACAGCTAACGTGGTGGATTCACTAGAGAGACACGCACAGGGGTAACAAATGCCAGGCCATGCAATCGCCAAAGGGTCTAACCTGAAAGTTCTCAAAATGCATCAGGGACTTGCAGTGTGCGAGCCGGGCAGCGGAGTCGCTATGGTAGAATTTGTGACACAGCCTGCAGAGGTAACCTGCGACGGGGACCAGAAAATCCAGGCCTGCGAAACGGGAGGGGAAGGGAAATCACAGATCACATTGAATGGAACTCAAATAATGAAAGCATGTTAAAAGAGAAGGGGGATGGGGGTAAAAAAGTAGAGGTGGAAAGCTTTGCTTCTGTTAATCAGGGATTTGCAAGATGACTTGCTGAATATCTCGTCTTACCATGGAATGGCTGTGGTTGATATTCAGAGAGAAATCTGGCTGCCAGAGCAAAGAAACTACACAGAGCTTTAAGGGGGGAAAAGGGAGAAGAGAATACAATGGAAAACTACAGAGAACATGTGATCTAATGTAATGGGATCAAACCAAGCAGAAGACAGCAGGCGCGCAAGAGGAACACGCAGAGAACATTCACAGCATGAATCATTATTCCATCTGCCACACGATAGTGGAAGGTTACAGCGATATGGAAGATTTGTGTAAACAGAGCTCTCCTTGGGCACAAAACAGCCTCTGCAGAGCTGCCCTCCTCAAACACGAGTGGCCTTTAAGGGTCTGAAGTCAGCTGCTTACAGGGTGGGGACCAGACACAGCCATCTGGAGGTACCACTGCCCACCAGGCCAGCAGCACAGCTGAGGAACTGCTTGGTACAGCGTGGGGGTTCTGAAGCAGAGGAAGCATGCACAGTTTGGGTCTAGCAGAGAGTTTGATACTGTCAATGATGCTCAGTATCTCTCTGCAAGCTGCATTTCTGTTGGAAAGCATTCCAATCAATATGCTTTCCGACTCCATCTTTCCAGAGCATCCCTCATTTGCTACCTACTTTCTTCAGTATTCCTGCCCTGCTTGTTCCATGTCCTACCTTATCTGGCTCTCATCCTTCTTCAAAGCAAAAGGCAGTTGACAAACATCAATCACATCCTTACGTTTTATCACACAGTAATAAAGGAACATCCTGCTCTCAGGAGAGGTTCTTCTCCCGACAGCAGTGACATGCACCAGTCCAATGCAGATGCTGGAGCACCATGGCCCAAAAAGTCATTATAACAGTAGGTACAGACCATCCTCTCCTACAGATACAGCATGTGGCCAGAGAAGGCTCTGTGGCCCTTTGTGCTTAACTCTGCTTGCTTACCATAGGCTGTGTCTGGACAATACTTCTCACTTCCTTCGTAATCCTCCAAAGACACTTCCTTCAGCCCAGCCTGAAAACCAGAAGAACATTAGTGCCTACTGTAGCTATGGCAATTGCCAGGCTCTTGCATTTTTCTGATAAGCTTGGGAGCAAAACAGAGGATTCACATACCAGAGACAGAGTTGCACAGCCTCTGCTTAGGGGCAGATGTAAACCCCAGTATGAGCAGACCACTTCATTACAAGGGTTAAAATCATCCCTTCCACTCCAAGCCTGAAGGAGCTTAGCCATGTACCTCCTTCTTGGTAATGTATTTGCCAAGATAAACCTCTACACGTTTGCTATCAGACACAGCTACTGCTGGGCTGTTAAAGGAGACTATGTCAAAGTACTGCTTTATGCTCCTCAACAAGGTTAATGTCTGAAGACAGCAGAAGTTGTACAGCACAGCAGAAACACCTTCATGTATCCCACACATAGTACCCAATTCTCTTCTGCATCACCCTGTGTTCTGGAAGAACCCTAGAGTTCCACCCTACTGCTGTGCAAGGTTGAGCAGACTCCTGAAAGCCTGAGCTCAACCAGCCAAGACCAACTAAGTCATAGGATCCCACAGCAGATTCTCAGATAGGTAATTCCTTCTTCTCTCGCACAGCATACCTGCTTGGCAGCAGAATCCTCATTTTCCATCAGCACTACATCTCGGTCTTCCTCCTCACCAGCTCCTCCCTCGTCCTCCTCCTCTTCCTCATCATCATCTTCAAAACAGCCAACAGCATCCACAGTGATCAACTCCTCTGAATCTTCTGGGCTCCCCAACTCCTTCTCTCCTAGTCTAACCTGTAAGGTACAGAAAAGAAAGATCAGATCAACTTTGCACTTGCCATTTACCCAAGGTAGAGCCCAGACTCAGGACAGATTGTATATGATGAGTAGTAGGGACTACAAGAGGGGCATAGAGCTCTCTTACTTCTAGACACATCCAACACCTTCTCCCTTTTTCAATTAACTTTCAGTGCTAACATCTGAAGTTCAGCAAAAAATGAAAATTAAAACAGGGTTGGAAGAACTGCACATCTTCCTTGCAGCCCTGCAGTAGTCAGGGAAGGAGAAAGTTATCCTGCTCTACAGTGTAGCTGCTTCCAGACCTGCACAGCTCTCCACCCCAGGCAGTATCACCTCTTTGGCTTTCTGTTTGTGCTCAGGGGACTTCATATGCTCCACAAACTTGCGAGGGGTCTTGAAGTGCCGGCTGCAGACAGTGCAGAAAGGACGAAGCGAGCGTTTGGCCAGCTAAGGAAAGAGGGAAAATTCCGTAAGTCACAAGAGGCACTGCTTTGGACGAAGGCAGATGAATCTTGAAACAGTCAGCCCCACATCCTGGGAGACCACAAAGAAAATAGTCTTTTCAGCAGAAAGGACTCTCTAACTTCTACCCACCAAAAAGATGAAAAACATGCAGCACAAAAATAAGTGTGTCTTAAAATAGGTGTTCTGGCACTTCTTCCCTAAAAGTCAATAAATATGCTGGCCTGCCTGAAGTTTAGCTTAAAGAGGCTGTCCACCAATTCCTCCATTCAATGAATTAGGTGAGTATGATAAGCCATATTTCTTAAGAAAAGTCAATTACATACTAGAGGTGCCTCAGGCCATACTGACATGTCATGACAACTGGAAGCTCCAACAATGCCAGAGGCAGGAGGTAGCACTGCAGTGTCCTTAGGGAAGGAATTACTAGCAGAACTTTATGTGCATCCCTCCAGTCACTTTTCCTTTGTTGCCTAGGGAGCAGGAGATGCTACACACTTCCATTTAACCCCCACACAAAAGGTCAGTGTAAAATGAAGTCCACACTATGGCTGTTACCTTGTGTTCCTGGGTCCTGCGATGTTTGATGAGGTCCCCTGTGAAATGCACCTGGCATGTGTTACACCACCGCTGCTGGGTCTCTCTGAAGTGACAATAGATAGAGCTTTAAGTCACACCTTTTCATTCTCCATGGAATACTGCAGTTAGCAATCTGTCCCTGGCATTGTTTTCTTCACAATTCGTATCTTTACAGGCTTGGATTTATCTTCTCTCCTTCTCACCCACTTATAGGTTGTTTTGTGCTGACAGAAATGCACCAGATAAAACAGGTCTCCTACTTAATCTACTGTATTGAAAACTACACAGGTCAAAGTCAGCTCTGGTATCCTTCAGCAAGACAGAAAGTTGCCTAAGTGAGATTAAGGCCCTTGAAACCAGAGGGGTTTGTACCTTACCTAAAACTGAGAGGCACCCTGGTGCAGTGAAGAATTTTAAAACCCATGTAGGGCCACATTCAGATCGAATTTTCTACTGCAGACTAACACTTACCCATCTTTTCCTGCTAGCACCTTCTGCTGTTTCACCATGGGCAGTAGTGAAACAAAACAAACATTGCTCATGTGCTGAATCTCCCCAAGTCGCTGCTGGTGCTGAATTCCAGCCATGTGGGATTGGAAATTCTGAAAAAGAAGTTAGGAGAAAAATCCTTTTAAATGTATCCAAAACATAGAAAATAATAGCTATGAGCTATGCTTTCCTTTCTTTTGACTGCTGTTTAACAATGAAATATAAAAGCTTTAAGAGCATGGCTGCCTGTGGATCCACCCACATTCTCCCTCTAGCAGGTTGTTTGCCAGCTCTCAGGAGAGGTTTATTTTATCTGCATACTTGCCATCATTTCTTATGTTCCTTGTTCCTAAAGCATGAGCCCTTGCTAACAAGTCCCCTTCACAGTCATCCATCTAATTCCCATCTCTTGACCACTTGGATCCCTGTCAGACCTGTGCATTTTTACCTGCTGACTGCAGCAATTGGTCTTGCAGATGTAGCAGTAGAATTTAAGGACCGATTCCGGGTTGGGATCAGCTGTACCCACGTCACAGGCCCAGTGCCCTGGTTTCAGAGCTGTTGTACTGATAGCTCTGCTCTCACTGCTCTGCTGAATAGTCACTTTCAATGAACCTCCAGAGCTCAACACCTGCCAAAAGAAGGAGTCAACATTAAGTTCAACCCCTCAGTAGAAGACTAAAAATTACACCTGCTTTTTGTATGTCACCTAAGCTCTTTACCCTTTAGGAAAATGCACTTAAGCTTGAACCCACAGGAGGCTGATCAGAAGGACTCTCATACACACTCCTCCCAAAGCTGCTAAATCAGCAATCCCTGTGTCATAGCACCAGTCCTACTAGCACAGATGGTTGTTTCTGCATCCTCTGCAGCCACTGCATGATCCAGTCTCTGGGGAATGGAGCCACAAACAATTGTTGCTAAGGGACACAATCAGCTCGTGTTTCTCCACAGCAAAACTAAAGCCTACTCAGCACAACACCTGATGAGGGAGTGCGGAACTCAGACAAGGGCAGAATGATACATTTGATCACATCAATAAATGTCTTCCAATTATGGAAGCCTGTCAAGTCTGATTCACACCTGAGGTTAAATCTTTGCTCACAGCTTCACACAGCCTAAAGTCCTGATGTAACATCCAGCATGGGGGCCATGTATTTAATGCAAAAGACTCTCAGGTTGCATCTTTTAACACCACCTGAATGTTTTTACACTTGCTCTTTAACAATATGAAAGATGTATTTAGCTATGGCCTTCCACACTTTCTTACAGAGTTTTAAGTAACTCTTTCAATTCAGCTTTCCATCTTTCCAGCTGAATACAAAAATCTTAATGAATGCCCCATCCATAGGCAGCAGTAGGTAAGGAACAGGCCAGCAGAGGTACCAAAGCAGCAAGTCAGAGCAGACTGCGCACTAATTGCAGACATATTATGCTTTATTGCCAGGGACAACAGCTTACAGCAGGAGACAGAGCTCCAGACGTGGGTGCCAGCTGGTTCCCAGTGGCAACGAGCTTCTCCAGGATGGAGGGGGAGGTTGTATGTTCTGCACCACCCCTGCATGAAGTGGTGTCTGCTCACCTCAGGAGCCTTCGGTTCCTCAGAGAATTTCCTCTCTCTGGAGAGATCATCAGCTGTGTACTCCTTTGCATTGTCTGTACCTAAGAAGGGAGAGTCCTTTTAGCAGCCTTAAATCAAAACAGCAATGACAGGAAAAACAAAGCAGCAGGTGAGTGAAGTCAGGGAGCTTTCCTCACAGCACTGTTGGCCATAAGCCAGTTCACAAACCTTTCTCCTTATCCTTAGTAAAGATGGAACCATCGAATCATTTTCCTTTGCCAGGTAATAGATAGTAGGGTACAAAGTTTGGATTTGGCTCCTAGATTTTATCTTCCTTTCCCTATTCTATACAACTGGGAGAAGAATATTTCTGTAGACCCACACGACCTACAGGTGCATTTCTAGCACAGAGTGCCCTGAAAGTTCAAATCACAGGGTTCAGCAACTCACCATCAGCTTGGACATGGGTGCACGAGACTCCTGCTTTCTTGCTGTCTGTGGCATCCTCTAACGCAGGCTCCCCAGTCACACTTCAAGGATATCAAGAAAAGTATTTTAATTGCCATGTTACAGACAAGCATTTCAAAAGGCACACCAAGGCACAGGCTGGGGTCTAACCTACCACACTCTCCACTAAACCCCAAATCAATAAGCTACTGGAAGTGGTATTTCAGGCAATAATTTGGCAGAAATAAATAAAAATAATGTAGAGTGGGTGTTCTAGAATGGATTCAGAAATGGCAGCCAAATAATCTGGACAAGAAGGCTACAACTGGTTTTTTGGTTAGCTGACTTCTCCTGCAAGAAGCCTGAAGGGAATTAAGTTCATACAAGAAATATTCTTAATAAGAGCTCTGAGAGCTCCCTCCTGTCGTGACTGGTGACCTGTAGGGAAATTGGAATACTTGGACAGTGCTCCTGGCTGCTCTGTGCATGAGAGAAGAGACCTATCAGAACTGAAGGAGTTCTCCATGGCGCCTTTACAGGGATTTCACCACAGCTGCCTGTTCTATTCATCCCAGCCGTGTTTCATTTTAGAGTCCCTACAGCTCTGCTTGTGGGGGAAGTGAAACTTGACAAGATGCAAATCAAAAGGGCCTTGCTTTGTTTTATTTGCTATTGCTATTATTTTCTCTGCTAAGGAGAAAAGTGCTTCTGAGGGGACTATTGAGAATAAATGTCTGACTTCTAGAGGGCACAAAGTGTTCTCTGCAGTCATTTTCTCTATCCCTTGTTTTTCTGTCAGGACCAACTTTCCACCATGACTTGACTGTCTGCTCTGAGGGCAGCTCAAATTCCCACCTGCTGGTGTCCTTCTGCCAAGAGGGAGCAGTACCTTCTGCACAAGCAGGACAGCTGATAGCGCAAGTACCGCATCCCGTTATCCGAACACACACACACCGCATAATTTATCAGGTTGATAAGTGATAATGGAACTGGGTTACACGGCTATAAATATGCAGCAGGGTTTGGGCACTGCAAACACGAATTAAACAGGAGTGACTGGCATTACCATTATTTGTCAGGTGCTACCAGCAGGCTCAACGCTAACGGTACCACACACAGATGGTGCCAGCACTCGGGGAGAGGGTTTGCAGCCTGAACTGCAAACCTAAGGAGCGATCTAAGGGAGCAAAAGCCACCACGAGCATGATTTAAAGAAGAAACGGTATTCTATGGATACTTGTCATGCCATGCTAGAAGTGGGTGTTCAAGGAGGATTTGAAGATGGTGAGTGCTTTCTGCACTGGAATGAGGATGTTGTTCCAGGTGTACAGATGGTACATAGGAGCAAAGGCAGAAGTGGGAAAAACCTGAAATGAAGAAGGAGGCTGGTATTCCTAGCTAAAGGGAAATGGAACAATGAAGCATGAAACACAAGTTTATGACATAGATGGGAGAATGCCCTTGTCATCTGTGAAGGGCAGTATGAGAACAGTAAACTATTTTTTTTACAGATCCATCATCTGTTCATTGGAAGATACTAGAAACACTTCAAAAAAAGCTAAGGAATAATCTATTCTAGGTAAATACCAGCCGTAATATATGCATCAAATCTGGCAGTCCCCAACTGCAGCTTAGGAAAGAATTTTCCTAATAGCTGGCTTGCTGCAGTGAGAGCTGTCATTCCTCAAACTTGATTCTTGTTTTCAGTGCATGTAATAGGACTTTGATTAATAACCTGCTAAATATTAATGTAATTAAAATTAAATTAGCTTTGGCAAACAGATTAACAAAGCATACACTCAAATGTATTCGACCTAGCTTTAATTGAATTTATTCACTTTCCTGCTAATCAGAGTCCATAACTCACAACGGTCCCTAAGCACACAGTATTTATCACTCTTTAATGTTTTACTTTGATGTTCAGATATTACCTTGATCATGTAATCCTGGAATATTCTCCCTAAAGCTATCCATTAATCTGTAATCTACAGATGGGAAAAGCGAAGTGAGGAAACTTGTCCAAAAGCAGGCGGCGAATGCCTAACAGGGAAGGTAAGAGGACCCAGGAGTCCTGACTCATCGTCGTTAACATATGCTGGAGAATTCTCAAGTCAGTGCCTACAGGAATCTGTATTCACTCCCTCCTCTTCTCCCTCCACACCAGCCAAGGGTGACAGTTCTGGGAGAGGAGCAGCCCGGTGCAGATGGCACCGGGAACTCTGCGAGGTGCCTTCCCACTAGATGGCAATGCAGCCCTGCCTGTCCCTGCCGCACCCTCGGGAGGCCGGGAGAGCCGGGATGGGCCTGCCAAGGCCAGCCTGCCGTGCATCCCCGGGGGATAATAGGATTGCCTTTGTCTATTTTTACCCAGCAGACAGAGATACTGGCAACCTTTGCAGAAGAGATACAGAACTCAATACTCATGGATACAGGCTTGGATACTAGGGAGCATTGATTCCCTTTCCTTTACCATTTCTCAAAATAAACTACCTTCTCCTACACCTACTGTAACCTAACATATTCCAAGGCTTTCCCTTTCTGTTCATTTCACTTTTTTGACATTTAGGGAAGAAACTTAGACAAATACACCAGAATAGAATAGAACCTCTATGCTTCTTACAAGGATCCTGGCAGGAGAATACATGAGCAAACTCAGCTTTGTTGCACATTTACATGAGCTGCATCTCTCATTTTTCATTCTCATAATTGGATCCCCTAGCAGAGACCCCACAACACCCGGTATCTCAGCAAACACCACGTTCAGATTTTCTGAACTGTTCACAAGCATCTGAAATACCTCTTACATACTAGACATCAGGCCAATAGAGTATACAGCCCTAATTATCAGAAAAAAAAATTAGACCGTAATTCTAAACTCAGTAACTATCTTAATACCCCATTCAATAAATACCTCTTCAGTCTTTTTGCTGCAGGCTCAGTGTTCAACACAGACTCTGTTGGAGTTCTTGGCTCTGCAGAAACACAGAAGGAGATTTCCTTAGCAAAAGAGACCTGCCACCTTAAGCATATTCCATATCTGAATAGCAAATGCCAATGAGGCTCTCTTAGAGCAAATAATACTAAATACTTGCTTATTCTAAATTTATGAGCTGCCCTGGCAAGGTTAGATAATGACCTCAAATATTTGAGTTTTATTGCAATGTCACTGTATGAGGTGTTGGTCAAAAAAAAAGAAATCTATGTTCATATCTACTAAGTGGCTCTCAGTCCTGTACCTAAGTGACAAGAGCCATGATCATGGGAACATTAATATAAGCCAAAAAGGCGCATGTACCTGACAGCAACCAGTTAGTAAGACAATTTTCACCACTGCATATTCCCTGGTCAAAACCTCATCAAAGCCTGCAGTTTTAAATCACGCACTCTCCAGTCAGAAATGACATTCCCACATCTGTACTGTATCTGACATTAAGAAATTCAGTGCCAGCAGTTTCTGTTTTGACAACTGGGGCACCAGGACTTTCAACTTGTCTTTTCCTTAGCATACTGATTGTAACTGGTTCTGCTTGATGTGTTTGGCTGCATGAGATGTTGACTTCAGCATGGGTAAGGCAATGTGGAATCTTCAATTTCAGACCAGTTCCCACCCCCCTCCCCCCCAAATCTTAAACACAGCTCAGTGTCAAAGGGACTTCTGAGAGGCTTCCATGCAAGAGAAATGGAGCAGGCTCATAAAAAAATCAAAAATATTCAGGTTAAAGTGGTACATGAAGCACATAGCAGAGGGCTAGCACATGCAGTTTTAAGTATTTACAATTAGAGAGAAACATATCTGGTTAAGCCTAAAATCATCTCCAATTTTTGCTGCAGGACTAGTCAAGAGAAGTTTAACATATTTGCAAGCAGTTGTTTCACTACAGGCTCCCTCTTACCTGTGGATGGTGAGGAATTGTTCTGCTCTGACCCTGCTTGCATTCCCTCTGGAATCTCCATTTTCTCATCACCTTGTGTCTGAGATGAAGAACCAGGATCTAGTTCCCGCTTCCTGTCAGGAACCCTCTGGAAGTCCTGCAATGGGCAGAGAGAGTCACTGCCAGCTCATAGTCCTTAACACACACTACTTAAAACACCAGAGTTTTACTGTGGGACAGGAACAGGAATTCCAGCATGTGATAATGGAAAGGAATAGATGGCTTACAATGGACTGCCCCGCCTAAGACAAGTTTACATGGTCAAAGAGAGCAAAGCATTTCAGTTTCACAGGCAGCCAGGACATGTCCCCAGTGCTTTTAGCAGCAGCTGTAGGAAATCCAGCTGCTTGCAGAGGGTAGGATCATATTAGAGGAACTCTGGCAAGAGGTGCATGGGCAGGGAAAAGGATAGTCCAAAATAATCCCCCTTCTTTTGACTCTGGAGGACAGTCCAAGACTGTGAGTTTTCCTAATCCACCACATCTTTTTGACAGAATGGGATGAAATATGCCAAAGCTAATCTAAGAGGAGGCAAGTAGCAGTCAACCCAAGAAACATTTCCAGGATACAAAAGAGGTCTTAATGATGGAAAGTGAGAAAGGTTTTTACAGAATCCACTGGGACAAATATGATTTTGATCTTAAAAAGTGTGAGAACAGCCCAAAGAAGCAGAGTGTCCATAGTAGGAGCAAGTTGAGAACAACAAACCGCTTTGGAACAGCGAAGCACTTAGCTAGGATTTCTTCCATTGTAATTACTTTTAAGCTAATACTTCTAAAGGCTCCTTTTATATCCTAGGTTTAAACAGCTCTATCATGGGGAATTCTCTCTCTTGGGCAAGTAGTGACAAGAAACCTTTGCATCATAAATGTAAATATGGACCACAAAAGCCTTTGGGATGGAATGATTTCTGCATTTCCGTGTCAGCAGCATGGTGCAAAACATTATTTTCTTTGTAAGGCTCTCTCCCTTCCCTTTGTTCTCCACCTACTATACAGTCAACAGCTGCAAGTGTAAAAGGAGCACAAAGCCCCCCAGCATTTGGAAACCACAATCCCACCTTGCGAAAGGTCCGGTTCTGCCGCTGGAATGGGAGGCTGGGGAAGCCCAGCCGAGTTGGCTTTAAGGAGACCCCAACAGGTGGTGGTCCCAGGAGGGAATGTCTTGTAGCCTGAGGGAAGAACTGCTGCAGTGCTGGCGCTGTCATGTTAAATCCACGCAGGTTTCCTATAAATGCAAACACAGCATTTCACCATCCTGTGCTGTGCAGAGAGAAAATCTTCCTCCTGAACAAGCAGCAGGTAGAGGGTAAGTGCTCCTCTACACATGACCCAGTCTTTTACTGGGCACTGTATTGGTGCTCTGTGCTCTACCCTCTTCAGCACACAGAATGATTTTACGTGATAGCAACCATTACTATGGATCAAGCTATTTCATTATAATTGTCACTCCAGGCAAAGATCATTAGGGCAATTATTTGATCTGACAAATTAGTGCTCATGTTTACAACAAACAAGGTCTCGTTTTACGAAAACTCTCTGTAAAAAAAGGAAAATTCACCCCACATTTGTGCAGCTGACTGCCCACACCATAGCATGGAGCTCTTTAACACAAGCCAGTAACAGCATTTCATGTAAAATGACACCTAACTTTTAAAAAAAATAAATCCCACAGTCCTCTTTGCCACCTGATTGTCATGCAAGCTCAACATGTCAACCTCAACTCTGACACTTGAGACTCTGCCATTTCCAATTATAATGCTCTGCCTTCTGAACAGTTCAGCATCCACAGACTATTAATCAAGTCTCAAAAATTTCTTCTGAAGACAGTCCTTGTCACCCCCATTTCAGCAGTGACAGAATGGAGGAGCCCAGATGCCTCAGCTATACCCTCAGAAACCATCCATCATTTAGGGAACCTGGACTTAAATTGCCATTTTTTCTCTCTCACTTGAATTAGTGCATACTCTAGCCTTTTAGCTGCTGTCAAAACAGGGCAGCAAAGTTTGGAACCAAACATCTGAAAAACGAAGCTAGTGTTAAAAATCTGCAACACAATAGGAAGTACTCCCTGTGTTTGTCTTCAAAAGCAATCTTGTCTATTATTACTTCCCATATATAATCCCTTACTGTAAAAGGGCACAGCTATATTAAAAAAAAATAAATCTAACACAAGAAATTATCTTCTGCTCTTGGTTTGGTACCTTTAAAGAACCACACATCTGTTTCAATTTGAAGTATTTATCTTTTCCTCTTCCCACTGCTGAAGCCACACACAGCCAATGAATAATTTATGCTGATGCTTCCCAGGGACAGAAATGGCACAGCATCAGATATTCAAACATGTAACCCAAACCTGAATGACCAAAAAATCTGTATCACTAAAAAGGGCCACACTGGACATTGGCAACCATATTCCATGTTACCTGTGGCTACCTGAGACAGGTTATTGAGAGGGGTCACAATTTCATGGAGAGGTGAATAGAAGCAACACTAAGACAAAGTGCATGTAAAGTATTCATTAACATATCTTTTCCTGCTCTATCTAATTAGCCCCAGGTCCTTGGCACACTATTTAAATACAACTTCTCAATTAAAGATTCAGGGAAAAACGTCAGCTGACTGCAAACATATCTAGAAGGAGCATGGCTGAATGAAGGTTGGAGTCACAATTTTTCCTGACAATGATATATGTACATCAATCTTCAGAGCATGGCTTGTCCTTTCTCACTGTCACTTTCCCTTCAACCTGAGAGAAATCTGTGGAGAGCCACTGGAGTCACTAGAGAGCCCTCTCGTTAAATGGGCAAGAGAGAACAAAAGGAGAGTTAACGACATGCAGAATAAATCTTTTGTCTTCACATCTGGGCATGATTCACAGGTAAGGTAGAAATTGCAGGCATTAATCTAGATTAGGCACTTGAAAACTGTCCCAGGTACTGATTTGCTGTGTTGAAAAGAACTGTCAGGTTAAGACATGAGCAAAAAATAAAAACACACCTTTATTCTTATTATCTTTACATTAGTAATGCTATTATTAAGGCAGCTTCATAAATTTGTTTTGAAAACACAAAAAGAAAAGGAATATCCACTTGTGGAAACACAATAATGGAAAGACAGAGATATTAACCAGCATAGAAATTACAGTAATTTCAGGGAATCAAAATTTTACAATACAATTGACACACAAACCTTCTTCTATCTCAGTATAATGTATTTGTTTGTACTACACTAAATTTGGACAAAGACAAGTATCTACTGCAAATAAGGTTATTGTGTATGTAACAGATAATTAAATAAATGGCCCTAACCTTGTTATCAAGAAAGACAACCAAATAATCAAAATCTCAGTATTTTATCTAAATATATTGATGAAAAAAATACTTGCTCCATCAAGCCTAAAAGGGAAGGCATGTATTTAGTATCTAACCTGATATCTCCTAGTACTATTCCCAGTTGTGAACAGTTGGGCACATGTGATTTTCAACAACTGAAGAACCTCTGTTCTGAGAACTACGGACTAATTTAAAGAGAAGAGGAAAAAAAACAGAAAAGAAAGAAGACAACAAACGGAACTGCCAAGTACAAGAACTGCACTGGTTCAGCAGGAAATAGCCATGGTATGGTTTCAGTCCAAGAGGATGATTAAATAACTCCAGTAAGTAAGCGTTTCCCATAACGACAGTACCTTGCATCTGCTGCATGAGTAAGGCCCGCTGAAGCATAGGATTGGCATTGAGCAGCGATGGCTGATTTGTTGCCCGTAAGCTCAGCATCTGTTGCTGCTGCGGTGGCGGCAAACCCCTGGAAAAGAAGGCATCAATCATGAGAACCCAATAAAAACTGTACCCTTCCATCCAGGAGCCTAGCAAGCATAGAACAGGAACAAATAGCTGAAAGGCTGATATACATGCATGAAAAGACACCATGCACTGGCACTATATACTCTTTCCCCCCCTCTCCTGGAATTTCCAAAGATGACAGATTGTCTATCAAAGAATTTGAGGTCAGAGACAACTCCTTAGCACCGAGCCCACATAGAGCCTCCCAAGCAGCATAAAAAAAGCCCAGGAGCTGACTGCGGTTCTACAGAATTATGCAGCACCCATCAGGAGAAATGAGTGATCTAGATCAGCAGCTACATTTAACATGACAACAAAAAAGTTCTAAAAACCAGGGAGTTTTCGCAGTAGCTTAGAGCTCATTTTCCCAAAATCAACACCTCCCACACGGAGCCAGACAGGTCAGAACTGTCAATGGTGCCCCCTAACTGCAAGAACCAGATGGAAAAATAAACCACGGCCTTCATATTTAAAACACGAGGAGGAAGAAGCAGCAGGGACCTCTCCAGTTCTAAGGAGGGTGGAGCAGACATGAGAGAAAAGTCTGAGGAAACTGGCAGGCACTTCTTCAGGCGATTGCAAGGTCAGGCCCACCTCTATGCACGCTGCTGACACAGCTAAATCTGTCAGAGCTGAAGAGAGGTACAAACACGGATCGAAATATCCACCCTGACAAAAAAACCCAACCCCTTCAACAGAATTCACAGCAGCTCATCTTCACATTTGCTGCTCTAGATTGTTCCAGTCTCTGAGCTGAGATATTTATACCACAAAAATCATACTTTTAAAGGTGTAAGATGCAGCCGTGCTATCTAGCAGTCAGCCCCTTACTGGCATTTTAAGTGCAGCTTTTTTTTATAGCATAAAACATATAAAAATGGTAAAAAGATTTGCAGGTTCATATTTCTAGTAAAACAGAAAAATTCCCACGCTTACCTCAGAGAAAAATGCCTTATAAGGATAAAGTAACACAATAATTCCATAAATAACAAATTAACTTTCTTCCTAAATTTGCATCCCATTGCTTTGAATTTGCAAAGAATAAGGTTTTAAAGATAATAGTAACTGCAAATAAATGCGTAATTTCAGAGAATTTGTGCTGGTTCTACAAATCTCAGCTCATCGGGGACAACTGCTCCTATCCAAGTTGTTTTACATCTTGCATTTTTTAGGAAAACCGTGGTTATTTTCGGGCAAATATCCTTTCTCCTTTCACGAACAAAACACAATTTTCTTCATTCCCTCCCTGCCCCACCGTGCTCAGCCACAGCCTAAGCGCTGGTGCCACTGCAGAAATAAGTTAAATCATCACACCCAGACCAGCAGACCCAGAGAGAGAAAGAAAATAAATAGATAGTTTAAGTTCAACAATAAAACAATAAAGTGTTCGTGTCTGCTGAGGGTGGCTCTGCTGAGCGCTGATTCTGCAGGAGAAGGCGTTTTCCCCGAGCCCCGGCTGCCCTGCCCTCCCTGAGGGGCGACGCTCGACTCGGAGCATCCACCCACGGCTCCTATACGGGCTCCCCGGGTCACCCACGGGCTCTCGGGGACACCAGCTCCGGACGGCGGACAGGGATCCCCGGAGCGCAGAGGGAACACGGCAAGACACCACAGCGGCCGCCGCCCTCCGTCGCACACCCCCGGCCCCCTCGGTGCCTCCAGGCTCTGCCCCGATCGAGGCCTGCGCCCCCCAACCCCTGCCCGCCTTCCTTTGTCGCCTTCCCCACCAGGGGAGAGCAGCCCCGCCGCGGCGAGGAGGGACGGAGTGCAGGGAGGCGGAGGAGAGCGGTCCCCCGGGACAGGCCGCGGATCCCCGGCCTCGCGTAGTGGCGCTTACCGGCCTCCCTGCTGCGCCGGAGGGTGGTGATGGTGCTGCTGCTGCTGCTGCTGCTGGAGGAGGTGCTGGAGCTGCAGCAGCTGCTGCTGGAACTGCTGCTGGTTGAACATGTCTGGGGAGCCCCGAGCGAGGCGAGCCTGAGACAAAATACGGGAGGGCGAGGGAGGCACCGGCTGCGGGGCTGGCGCGTATCAGCCCAGCAGCCATTGAGCAGAGGAGCCGCCGCCGCTGCCGCCCATTCATTCACTGAGCCGATCCCCCCCTGCCGCCTCCTCCTTCCCCCCGGGGTCATCGCAAGCGGCAGCCTGTGGAGGAGGTTTCCAAACCCCACCTCCCAAAACCCGCTCCCACCCTCCCCTGCCCGCGGCTCCCGCAGCCCGTTCCGCTCCCCGCGGCGGGGCCGCGCCGGGACCCGCAGCCGCTTCCCGTCCCTTCGCCTCCTCGCCCCGCCGCCACTCACGGCGCAGCCCGCGGCGATCACCGCACCCTGCCCGCCGCCTCCATCTTCCCGCCGGGGCCAGCAAGCACCTGCCCGGCCCCGCTCCCCGGCCCAACCCAGGCGGGAGGCAGCTCCTTGGGCAGGGCTGCAGGACACGGCCGCCCCCGCGGGCCTGGGGATCACCCCCGGAGCCTCCTCTCAGGTCGCCCCAGCCCGCAGCACCTCCATCGCTCATTCCCCGCGCAGAGGCGGCATTGAGGTGCCCTGTCCCTCGAGAGGGCTGGGAGGGAATGGACACCATCTGCCCAGGGCTGGGCAGGGAATGGAATAAACTGCTGCACAGGAGGAGCAGATGGCATCCAACAGCGTGGGCTTTCTGCTCTTTGTTTTTTTTGTTTTTTTTTTTTTTTTAAAATAGTCCAGGGGAATCTTTGGTAACCATCTCACCGAGAAGATGGAAAAAACCCAAAACAGTCTCTGGCCATTTGCTGTGGTCACATCTTGGCAAGCTTATCATGAGAACCTGGAAGAAAACAGGGACTTTTGCAATAATGTTATATGCTGTAGACTGAGGTGACTTCTCTAGCAGGTCCGTGTTCCCCCCCCCCTTTTTTTTGTTTGTTTTGTTTTTGTTTTTTGGCAGGGGGTGGGTTTGCAGCAAAACCTTTCCTGCAGGGCCTGTTTTCCACAGCAAAATTAATTTTAAGTGCTTTCAGTACACACAGGCTCTCTATGAAAATATACTGTGACTATGATTTCTTCTTATGATAGACCTCACTAGGATAAAGATGCATTTGTGCTCCTTGCTATTCCAGAGAATCCATCCTGAAATAATTTACTGTATAGTCTTTTTATTCATGCCAATAAAGACTACTTGATTCATTAAAGTCCTTGGAATTGATTTTTACCTGAAAGCACTGTAAGCTGAACACAGACTGTTATTGGTGATATACAGTTATCATTAATAACTTTCAGTGCAGCAACATATGTTGATTTTTCCTTTGGGCCTTTTTATACCATCCTGATTTTACAATAATCAATTTGGAGATGACCATTCACGTTAATCAATGATGGGCTCTATTCATGTCCAGAATCCTTTATGGCTGTCTGCACACAGAGAAAATGCTTTCCTGTTAAGCATGAAAACTTAAATGTCATCCTAGGGAACACACACATGGAGCAAAAAACATGCATGGAGTCTTTTAAAAATCATTTTGTATAGTTCATCCTCTGCTCCTGTAATCGTGCTGTTAGAGCAGCCACTGGCCTGGCTGGTTTGCAGCAGTGGGTACAAGGATTAATCAATCTTATGATCCCAGGACATAAATTAGCCAGACCACGGGAAGGCAGAATTCAGGTTGTATAGATAACTGTAAATCTGAAATTGATGTCCTCTGTTCTTAATTCTACAACTAAAGCTCTTGTAAGTATTCTTTGTATGGTACATTTGGAAATCTGCAAACCACCATACTAATGAAACATGCAAGTAACTAAGTTTCTTCACTGTTAGATTTTATGTTCTGACATAGTCTAGAGGCTCCCTTCATAGACTGGGCTTTTCTTTCTGATGTCCTACATAGACATCACTTAATAAACAACATTTTTGAACTTATAAATAGTCCATAGGTCTACTGCCTTGAACAAATCTGGACATGGATTTAGTCTTGTGCTTGCACAACACAAGACAGGACTAGGGCTATAGGAAGCAAAGAAAGACATGCTGCTCCACCAACCTACAACCCAAGGACTGATTTCAGACATGCCTTTATGTCCAAATGTGAACATCACACCTACCAGAGAGGGTTTAATTGAATACAGAAGAGAAAGCTCCAGATTCAGGTAATCACACCATTTAGTTTGAAAGTCATACAGAGATAAGGGAACTACAGAAAATTGGGTTAGTATCCTTTCTTTCACTACAAGCAACAAAACAGTGTGTCAGGCTGACAGCCCAAAGGTGCTGTCAGTGCCCAGTGACCACTGGTATGCAGACCTTGACCTCCATCCACTGACAGTTGTTTTTTCTGCAAGGAACATCTCACTATTCAGTGTGCAGTGGCAAATGCAGCTCATAATGGGAGAATACACAGAACCTTAAAAAGAGCCACAATGCAGACTACAGCATTATCACTCAAAACCAGCCCATGTATCCCCTAGGCTTGGGAGTGCCTCATTGGCATTGGGAGTGAATGAAACAGAATAGGATTTAGAAGTTCAAGGTAAGAGAATGACCCAGAAAGTATCCTGCAATGCAGAGACTATAGTCAGTGGAGTTGTTGGATCATGACTATAAGGCAAGCTGCACTTCACCTCTGTATGATTAGACTAGGGTTATAAAATCTGTTGGCAGATAAGAGGACAGCATATGAATGGTTTTTATTCAGGAGCTGGATTGTATTATACAGCCAAGTTTTTTGCTGGGCTATATGAATTTTTTCCAGGGACTGGATCAGGCATGTAGATAACCAGAGATTTCTAATTTCCAGCATATGACTGCACTGTGCAGTTTTATGTTTTAATTTTGGCTTTGAAAAAGACTTGGTATGCAACCCTTGATGAAGCCACATCACTTTTGAGAACCCAAGTTTTCTCAGTGCCTATGACAGCACCAACATACTGCGGTGCCCACAATTTCCTCTGCAATCTGCAAGGATGGTGTTATTACTCATCCATTTCACCAGGATATAACTAGTTCTCAGCATAATGTATTTAAGCCTCACAAACTTCTTGGAGAAAAAGCATATGGAGCTTTAAAGTACTTTCTTCTCACAGTTTAGGGGCCTGTGTATTGAAAGAATGGGTCATGTTTCACCAGACGTGCTCTTAACAGCCGACATTAGTTACTGGAATTACACTATCTTCCATGACTGGTTTATCTGGAGGATGACTGGATTCACACAACATTTCAAACCAAACTGATCTGTGCATTAAAGCATGTTTTCCCTCATCCTTTGTAATACAGTTCTAGAAACCTATTCCTGGTATTTCTTGATGGGCAGGACAGGCCCACAGTAGGTAAAGATACAGTTTTTAGATGCATTTTACCACAAGTTCAATAAGCTCCTGTTACTAATTTTCAGTCTCACAAAGTAAAATATATACCAGGAGCTATTTTGTGACATCTCACTGGATGCAAAAAGCACAGAGAACTCAGCTCCATTGCTCTTAAAATATTAATATAAACTCACATCCATGTGCAGATCCCATTCTTAATGGAGTATAACATTCAGCTTATTTCTTTTTTTATGTATACTCTGGCTTCTGGGGAGTCACACTAACAATAATACTGTCCTAGTGTCCTATACACTAGATTTAACTTCTTTTACCTCTTTTTAAGGAATTTTCACACCAATTCAGTTTAAGTACAGAAGATGAAGAAGCATTTCATGACATTATTCTGCAAAGGAAAGCTTTATATTTGAAAACTCAAAAATTAAAGGCTGCTTTTCTTTCAAATAGGTTTTTCAATTAACAGGAGCACTAGAAAACAACTTTTATTTTCTGAGCAACTGATACTGCAAGAGATCAATGATGTTACTCTGGTACCATTGCTACTATAGTAGCACTTAAACACCTATAAAATAGATACTTAAGCATTTTCTATCTCTATAGGTAGCTTTATATAGTTATGGCAATTTAAGAGGCTAATTTTAGTTAATAATTTTAACTATTGATCAGCTGTATCATGTGGTATTAATATGGACAATGACAATCCTAGGCCTGTTTCTTTTTGGAACTTTAAACACTCAATTTAAATTCTCACCTGTGTTTATAACAATTTTTAGGAACCCAAAATGCCAGAATTGTCTACTTCAAGACCCACACGTGAAATATTCTAAACAGTCACACTACCTGGAGTCAGCAGAAACAGTTTGCAAGTAACTTAGAGACTCATAAGCTAATTGCATTCCACATTTTTTGCCTCTTTTTTCCCTCTGAGGACTAGATGTGTTATTTTTGCAAGGGCAAGGAATGAAGGACAGAATCCAGCTCTCAAACGTCTATTTCTAATTATGCTAACTAAACTGGGAGTCCTATTTGCATGAGGTGACAAAATCAGCATACACAACTGTCGTTATGTTGATAGCCATACATAGTAACACACATATGCTTGGCCACATGCATTTTTAGGGATTCATGTTAAAGTACAGTCAGAAATATTTATAGCAAGGGGTGGAGGGGAGAGAAGGAAATCTTTCATCCCCCTTATTTTTCTTTGCTCACATCTTCAGTTTTTCTAAGATAGAAGGAAATAAATTTTTCCTATTCATTCCAGTTTGTGAAATGCCTTTTGTTTTTCCTGCTCTGTCTGCTACATGCTACTGTGTAAGTCACGGGTAGGAGGTATTACAGAATCAAAAGGTACGTTTGCCGACAGCATCCTTGCAACTCAGTTTGTGGCAGGAGAGAAAATGGAAGGCTCTAGGAGCGAATCTGAGTACCTGCAGTTCGCTTTTTCCATCAGCGGGAGGTGCAGGTTTGTAAAGCTTCAGAAAATCCAAGCCTCGCTGTCTCGGATGCTCGAGTTCAGTCTCTGGGCTGAGCGGTTGCAGCTGCTGCAGAAGCGTTCAGACTTCACACTGTAAATGAGTGGTTTAGGGTGACGCTGCAGAGAGACACTGGAGCTCATTTGCTTACAAATATCTCTGCAGGAAAAGAAGCTGGAGCAGATTCTGTGCATCTCTCAGTTTTATGCTAATATTGACCGTGTAAAGTTTGCCAATATTTCTGCATGTTTTACCACTTCCATCACTGCTTTTATTCCTTTCTCTTGTACCTGGAGAGTACCCTATTAGCTCCCCTCATCACTCCTGTCCAGTTTTGCCCTTTAAGACTTCAGTTAGGCCAG